TTTATGGATAAGAATTGTTAGTATTAAAGAGTGAATACCCTGGAAATGAAACGAATTGACGGGTCAACATGCATTAGTTCTGAGAGTTGTTCAGTTCGAATAGTTCGATAAACCGATCGATCAACATGGATTGTAAATGTCTTGAATCTTCGTTTCTCCTTTATTAGCTCAAATCACTTCGGACATTCCTGAACGTTTTCCTAATGCACATGAGAACGTAGTGAAATTCTAAAGTATCAACCTTAAATGTCTGATTAGATCGATTAGTAATCGATTCTCTTCAATAGGACATCATTCCTGGAATTCGATCAAATTGCATAAGTTCCTGTTATCTATACTGATGACTACAAAATGTCTCTAAAGAATACTTGGATTCTCTAGTGTGTTCCACATGTACTACATGATGGTTTTATATGCTTTGAAATGAGTTTTAATGAAAGTATTGATTTATTGGTTTAGAATCATGGCAACATGGTATGTGATATCTGATTTCGGTTTTCATCGAAACTATGAATGGTTCCTGATTTATGAAATCATGGAATTTACTGGTTTATGAACTATGGTTTTATATTTTCACGGGTTATACCTGAACGTTTTTATTGGGACATTATATGGGTAGATTGGAGGTACCGCTCTGATCAAGCTGAACATTTCTTACGGACCTAAGGTGATCCTTGGGTAGGCTCTCAGACCCCAAGGCACTCCCTTGGGTTAATTATTTGACTACTTACGGTGTATAGGTGGAAATCAATTATACGTTTTATTTCATTATCACGATTATGACATGTTACTGGATAACGGTCCAGATATTATGATTTATGGCTAAAACTGATTTCTACCAAATTTTTATATGGATAGGATTCTGGAGTATGGAGGCACAGCCCTGATCCAGCTGGTAAGACCTTACGGACCTAATGATACCCTTGGGTAGGCCCATAGGCCCCAAGGCATATCTTAGGTTGGCTCCCTTTGCTGTGTGCATAGGGAAATCCCTACGGACGCAGTTATGGGGAACTGCATAATGGAGTTTGGTTGGAGGGTCTCGTTATTGTTTTAAAAGATTTATATATTTTCACTGGTTTTGATTGGAACACACTAGATGTCCTATTCGACCTCATGAAAACATGATACTATGAATGTTTCCTATGACCTAGGATTTTCATGGCTTCTATTCGATGAACTACCAGTGTAACTCCGAATTATCCCGAAAATTTGTATACGTATGATTCAATAAGGAAATTATATGGCTTTCCATTTATCTGCATGTCCTATAGCATCACCTGGTAGTTCTGTATTACTGAGCTTTCCGAAGCTCACTCTATTACTCACCATTGCAGGTTAAAAGAATTGTACCAGCGCAGTTATCGACATCAATAAGGGAGTTCTTTCGGCGTTGCTTGCGGAGTATGGTATATGTGACTAGGGGCATGTAATTGTCTTTTATTTTATGTATGGGTCTGAAAATCTATTTTATCTCTTCCTACTGATAAATTATTTTATGAGTTACATGTTTTAAATAAAAGTTTTAAATTTTCCGCTATTTTTACAGTGGGACGCTCTAGTGGCCCTAATGTGACACTCTAGATCGGATCGGTTTACCGCATTGGTCTGAGGGAGTTACACTCGCACCCAAATATCTACAACCACTTATTTTGTAATGATCGATTTTTAACTCTCAAATCCACAACACCCAAGCCACCTAGCTCCCTTGGCCTACAAACGTTTTCCCTATTTATCCAATGAACGCCCTTTCTTGCATTTGTATTCCAAATGAAACTCGCTATTAATTTGTTTAATTTTGAAGCAACCGAAGATGGCATCTGGAATAAGGATAAATAGAAACCCGGGAGGTTTGATAAAATCGATTTCACCAATGTAATACGTCCACCAAAGGATAGCAAACTTCTTTTCCATCCATCAAGTCTTTTCTGAACCTTCTCTATAACGGACCTCCACACATCGATACAGCTCCTCTTTCGCCCCAGTTGGGAATTTATCCCACCCACACTTAATTTTTTTTTTTGGGCCCAATCCAAGGATCGCCTCTCATCCACATTAACTACATACACTTTGGATTTCTTCAAATTCAATTTGAGCCCCGAAACTACGAAAATTCTCAATACCCTCTTAATATTCATGATCAACCTAATATTAGCCTCCGAAAAGATAATAAGATCATCTGCAAATTAGATATGTGAGAGACGCAAATTACTGGACCCAATAGAGACCCCAGTTATCAATCCAATATCCACCGCTTTGCTCAACATGGCACTCAGCGCTTCTCCCACCAGATTGAACAACATTGAAAATAATGGACACCCTTGCCTTAGATCTCTCTTAATCTTAGAACTATTGGTAGGGGATCCATTCACCAACACAGAGATAGTCGGAGTCGAAATACACAAGTGAATTCACCTCTGCCACCTCATTCCGAACCCCATCTTCTTTAATATAAAATCTAGCAAACCTCAATCCACTGTATCATAAATTTTTCTAAAGTCAGCTTTGAACACAAAGGCTTCTGATTTTGTACTATGCAAATTAAGAAATGCAGTCCATTTTAGATGGACTAAATTGTAGTATTCTAACCTGTCTTGGAACTGGGCTCAACAACTCCACTCCTTATCCTCCATTTTTTAGGGATTGTCTCAGGAAAGGTCGGTTAATATATGGTTAATATACGGTATTACCGGATACATTAAAAGATATTTAATAAATTCGGTTTAGCGCTACCTATTATGTTGACAGACTAATAATGTTTTAGGTAGAAAACACGAAAAACTATTAAAAAAATTGGTAACCGGTAAACTTTGGTTATCGGTAAGTATTTATCCTTTTTATAAAAGTGTCCATACTTTTAACATATCAGGTAAATTTTATCGGTTTTGTTATAATGAAACTGGTTTTGTCATATTTTTACCTGTTATATTGTAAAGTATATATCCTTTTTATAAAAGTGTCCATACTTTTTTCACTGTGAAAAACATTAATTTAAGGTTATCTTTTGAGTGAGTTTTAAGATATTAATTTAGTAATTATAGGCGTCTAATGATTTATTTTTTACGTTATGGTATATATTATTATTAAATTAAAAACAATAAAAATATATATTACATATTTATTATTATATTTGGTTAATATTGTTAAATTTAAATACTAAATAATATTTTATAAAATATCAAAACAATCAAATAAATTTTTGTGTAAATGAAATTATTAAATTAATATTGTAGGTGGAAAACATGAAACACTGTTTAAAAAAATTGAAACATAAATTACATAACTTTTAAAAAAAGTATCGATCCTTTTTATAAAAAGTATGGACACTTTCAATATAATAGGTAAAAATATGATGTAATAGGTAGCGCTTATATAATGTAATAGGCAGCGTTTATATAATGTAATAGGTAGTGCTTATATTGTAAAGTATCTATCCTTTTTATAAAAGTGTCCATACTTTTTTCACTGTGGTAAACATTAATTTAAGGTTATCTTTTGAGTGAGTTTTAAGATATTAATTTAGTAATTATAGGCGTTTAATGATTTATTTTTTACGTTACGATATATATTATTATTAAATTAAAAACAAAAAACATATATATTACATATATATTATTATATTTGGTTAATATTGTTAAATTTAAATTCTAAATATTATTTTATAAAATATCAAAACAATCAAATAATTTTTTGTGCAAATGAAATTATTAAATTAATATTGTAGGTGGAAAACATGAAACACTATTAAAAAATTGAAACATAAATTACATAACTTTAAAAAAAGTATCGATCCTTTTTATATAAAAGTATGGACACTTTCAACATATTATAATGTAATAGGTAAATTTGTAATGTTATCGGTATAAATATACCGGTTTACTTATAAAATAGGTCAATATAAGCGCTACCTATTACATTATATAAGCGCTACCTAATATGTTATTGTACTTTATAATATTTCCGGTTAAATAATATAACATAACCGGTCTAAATTTTAACCGATCACTTATTTAACCGATCACACCGTATATTAACCGTTTTTTAAGCGCCGCACCGCATAACTACCCCATTTTTTACGTCCAAGTCTAAAAATCATACAGGAAATACAAACTTTGTTTGCTATTTACTATTTAGCCCGTCTTTTAGTTACTATTTCTGACGAAATTGAAAGATGTGTAATTTCCATTGCGTTTGTATATTTTCTAAATTACGGATGTTTCTTATTCATTCGTTCATTGATCTAAACGAAAAATAATTTCAATCATTAAATTAGAAATTAATTTGTCATCCTTATCAAACATAAGGTACAATTTTTTGCATGAATCAAGCGACCTCAGTAATAAATAAATTGTTGTTACTCTTTAAGGTCTCAGGTTCAAGCACCATGAATACTAAAGGTTTGAGCGTTTAATGTATGGTTGAAAATTATTTTTGAATGTAAACATATCAAACATGAAAATACTTAATTAAATAATCAAAATGACCATATTTACCTATCATCATCCTAAGATTTTGGAACAAAAGAGATTTACATTAATGATTTTTTGCAGCTATTTAAATCCTTAACTTTTGTAGCTAAAAGAAAATTCAAATACATTTGAAATATTATACACATCCTTTATATAAATTTTATATTTCAATATAATTTTTTTGGATATCTTAATAATATAAATATTACTAGAATATTGTATCTTGTATTAAGGAATCAGTAAAAGAAAGAACCAAGCAGGCAAATTTAAATAAAATCCTTTATGATATGAAAGATAAATTTCCTAGTACATTAACTGTTCATAGTTCTGATAAATCTTACAATAAAATGAAAAGAAGCTACAAAGAATTTTATGTCGCATAAAGAATCAAAGAATAAACAGAAAATTAATCCACTCCGGTACTACACACTGATCTAAAAAATTCTGTCCTAGAAACATATGAATCTGTATGGAGTTATTGCATGCAACAAAAGAATGAAAGAATAATGACAGATTTCTCTACCTACAAAGAATCCTTGTGTCGCCTTTTCTGTACTCAATAATGGAATAAAACTAATCAGTTTGGCTGAGGAAATGAGGATGAGGTGCCTGCAACATCAATGGGTGTCCAAGCTGAGACTGAATAAAGTGGCTGATCTAACCAACTTAGAGTAAGCGCTCCACCATCTTCCCCTTGCTTCTTCACATTGTACTTGTCACAAGAGTACATCTTCAACAGCAATTGGCTCTGAACCACTTCTCTCTCTGTGATCTCCATGCACCTGAACCTTCCTTGCTCCATCAACCTCCTCCACTTTTCAAAACTCTCGTGCCTTTCTACCCTGTCGCGTCCTTCGCAAGCAATTATGTTCCGGATTTCACTTGCAAACATCTCCTCTACTTTGATCCCATCTGGACTCTCCATGGGAAGGCTTGAATCAATGGAGTCAAATATGGCAGAGTAGTATCTCAATGAGTTGGAAACCCTTGCTTCTAAGCTGAGTACATTATGTTCAGCTTCTTGCTCGGCCATGATGACCACCGTAGGGTTCGTGCTACGAATAAGTCCCAAGAAATTCCTGAGAGCTACACCATTTCCATCATAAAGTGTCTTGTGCAGTTGAAACACACAGTTCACAGCTACAGTCTCATTCTCCTTTACATGGAGCATCCACAACCTTACATCTTCTAACCGGTCCACAACTGGATGGAACTCAAAAGGCAAATTCAATGCCTCAGCAAATCCCGAGAGCCTATCTCCCGTTTCATTCAGTTCTTGTTTCGACTCGCCAATTCCGGTAACTCTAACATGGCTTGGTGGATTAGCCCTTGAAGCTAAACTCTGGAACAAACTAGGCCACTGAAGTCCTTGCTTGATGTTGAAATCTATTATGTGAACCCTGTCTTTCCCTTCAAAGGCTCTCAACAATATCTCATTTGATGTAAAATGAAGAAATTTCGGAATTGGACTTATCTGATTCAAGAGCCTCAATGCAGTAGCATTGTCATCATCAACCCAATCAAGCTCACGGGGAGGTGTGATATGAAAAATGTGAGGCCAAAGCCTTGCGACTCGAAGAGCCAAAGCTTCAGTATAGTATGCAATTAGACGGCTTATAGCACTTCCTCTTGGAGAAGCAAGATCACCCAACTTAGCTATAAAATGATTGATGGCCGCAATGTTCTTCGATCCAATTGCTTCAACACAAGCTGCAAGTAAGTGAACAAGCTCAAACCCCTGATGCTCCCCATGGTTGTTCTCCTCCTCATCATAAGCCCCCATACCAGCAACCTCATGTGGGCGAGGATTCCCTGACCCATTGCCCACTTCATGTTCAGTGACTTGTTCATTTAACCGAAGTCCCAAACTATGACTCTCGGAAGAAGTACTCGATCCCGAAGCTTCCACCGGCCTATGGATTGTCTCGACATCTTTTTCTCCGGCATCAGTGATTTCAGTTATTACTGATTCGGTCCAAGGATTGTTAGAGGACGGCAAAGGCAGTGAAATCACTTCACTGGGCGCAAAACACACCCTTTCTTCATCCCCTGAACAATTCAGAGAGAAAGGAACTTGAGGAGCACTTTGTCCAGTAAAACTTGGTTGAAACCAAAAATCTCCAGCACCAAGTTGGGCCAGACGCAAATTATCTCCACCACCTTCATGAATACCACCAGTAATATCATTATGACAGCTACCCTTTTTCCTCTTTGCCCTGTCAACGACTGACTCATCAATTAAACCCTCAGCAAACCTCTTCAAACATTTCCCTTTCTCCCAAAGCTCATCATTGATCTCCCTCCGTCCTTCAAATGGATTCTGTGCAGCAATAGTCAATGGCGGCAGCCGGATATTCTGCTTGAGAGAACAACCGCTGGTCTTGGACTCAATTGGTTTCTCCACAGAAAGGCCAACAGGCCTAATAGGCTGTGCCCTTGAAGTAGTGTCCTTGCGAGAAAAACTACAAGGCAGGTCCAATCTCTGTGTGCTCATTGAAGTTGGGAAATGGCAAGCTTGAAACTGTGCAGACGCTTCACTCCTCAGTCTATGCCTTGGTGACGGCAATGTTGAACTAGAACACCCTGCCAACATTTCTCTACAACCTTCCTATTTTTTCTAAGTTCAATTTCAATTCACCCACCCCCAGTTTGTACTCTCTATTTTCTTTCCCTATCTCTCTGTGTATACAAGTCTTATGCAATGTATGAGTTTTTGTATAAAATCTTATATGTTCATATGAAACCTTGCATGTATGCTTGGACAACTAAATCTAGAGAGATCAGAGATGGACAAATTCTAAGTGAGTGTGTGATTTTCAAGAAACACAAAAGAAATAAAATAGGAAGGAATCCGATAAACAAAAATACAGAGACGAATTAAGGAATATTGAAAATGCAAGTGTTCCTATATGAAGAATGTGTGCGTGTGTGTACAATGAAGAACTAATTAGAATAATGGAAAAGAATATTCAACCCCATGAAGAATCAAAGATTTGTTAATAACTACACTAAAACATCTACCACAAAACAATCGTCGGATTCCCAGACACTCACAAAAAACTCATTCGAAAAGGCTATGATCAACAATGTAGAAAACGTCAATATTGGAAGCAAAAGCGCATAGATACTCAAACCTGGACCAGATATCGTGAAAAACTTTGAGACCCATCTCAGCTTTTGAGGCTTGCAAAAACTCCATGCTAACTGAAACTGAACCCAGACTCAGAAAAAACCCAGCTTTGAAATCAAACTAAACATGCATGAACAAGCAAACTGAAAAACGATCAACCAACAAATGAAACATCTCTCTCGAAGCTCACAACCCAAGAAAACCAAGAGGCTTTTTGAAAACATTTTACTGTTTCTCCCGGTTCATGTTCTTCATTTAACTCATTTTCACTACAGCTACAGCTATAGTATACTATACTCTATACACCTTACTAGTAAATACTCACCTCTTTCACCTTCACGTCTCCATCATTGCTTTCCCTGTTGTTCTTTTTGGGGTTTGTGGGATTCGTTTCAAGCAAATAATACCATGGTGAATAATAGCCTTCGTGACCGTTGGAGTGTTGTCGGTGAGATATGACCGTTAGGGAGTTGGTGACTAAATTTTCATGTAGGGAATTTTCTCCTTTTTGTCTTTAGTTTGTAGCACTAGTACCTTTCTTTCAGAGAGTGTTGAAATTCACGTGATGTGCACGTGTTCGTTTCCTCGTACCCATTCATTTATCCGCTGGGTCACCGGCTCATACCCCAATTATACAATTTTGTTTTGTCGTCTTATGAAAATTAACATTTTTTAAACTTCTTTAATCTCTTAACTAAAATATGTCTCCGAAAATCGGAAATCGGAATAAAGTTAATACAAGCATATATTATCAAATAAATTATGTTTAATGTAAAAATAAGTGTCCAAATTATATTATTTTTTTATTTAAGTGCCTAAAATTTTTTCCGATTAATTCAAATACCTAACGTTACTAACGTTACTATTTTAAGTGTCACGACTGTAACGACCGTTAAAAACTTTCTTTAATTGATACTTGTCACATTTATATAATTTTAAAATTTTATTTAAAAAGAAAAACCTTGAAAACTCTAATTTCAATCCCTATGCTTACGCCGGTCGTCACCATTCGTTATCATTGTCATCGACCAAACCTCTACTCGATGATAATCCTAACCCGATAACATAAACTCGACATCCCTGAACCCCCTAAAATCACGACATTCAAGCGATCTAACAATGCACACGACAACGGTCGAGAAGGAAAACATCAAGAGTGACAAAGGTGACGACGTCCATGATCAACAATGGAGATGGTGAGGTTAAGATTAGGGATTTTTAGGGATTTAGAGTTTTTTTTTGTAATTTTAAAGAAATTAAGATTTATTTTGATATAATAATATTTTAAATTCTTTTAAAAATATTTTTTTAAAATTACTTGAATATGATACATGTCACTTAATATATATATTTTTAATAATAAATTTTTATAATATAACAAAGCTGAATCTGCATCTTTAATTAGGTTATTATTAGCAGATTAAGTGAACTTTAAGCGGTTTACTGGACCAACGCTGGAGTGCGTAGGGACAATGTGGTAGATTTGCCTCGTTCAACAGCCATCGACAAAGGACAGCCATAACTGCATTCTCCTTTAATCAATAGAAAACCATCAACAACAAAATGCAGAATACTGAGCATTGTTAAGTCAGATTAATTTTATCCTCCTGAAATTCATCTACTTGTTCAATAGAAACTAAACGATTTTCCGGGTAGGAATTAGATATTATTACTTCTTCAGATCAACTCCAGAAATAGGGCCTCTTGTTTGCTTGTTAACCCAAGTTCATTTAGTGTCAAACTGCTCTCTCCATCACTGAAAGCACGCCTTGGGTATGGCCTCACCTGTGCACCAAATGTTGTAATTTAGAATGCGCTTATACCCAATATTTTCGTCCATTGCTAAAAAGAAATCATCCATCTATCTATCTATCTCGAATGATGGGGAATGGGACTTGGGATGAGAATTTACCAGTCTATAAGTTCCTGGCTTCACTCCTCTACCAACATCTATGAAGTCAAATAAAGACTGCAAAACAAAATCAAAGTCTAACATTAAGCATGCACAAGACACCGGTACTTCTTGCTTTGCACATTTACCTGCAGCCTATCAGACTTGAGAAATCTGCGGCCCCTGCGACTGCCATCTGGCATTCGCACAAGAAGGGTTACAGCATTTTGCTCATTGGCTGCTGGCTCCTGAGGCAGTGAAGCTTCTTTAGCAGCTAATTCTCTCTCACATTCCTGCAAATGGAATGAGAAAGGGTGCAATTCAGAACCATAAATATTAGATATCTACAGTCTGAAATTATATTTACAAAGCATAAATTAAGAACAAATACGTTGATTGGAAAGCAACAAACAAATTAACAATTCTTTTTTTCTTCAGCGTAAGGCTCTTAACCTTATGGTCGTGGGATCGAGTCCCACTGAGGGCAATTCATAATGGAGGTCTTTCACGGAAGCTACTCTCAACCTGGCGTTGGGGGCAGCCTACTATCCTACCTCCCCTTACCCCATTACATATGGGAATAGGGTCAGCTATAAATTTTATATCATCTACAGTAAGACATCATCAATAGAATGAATTGTTGTAATGAAGATAACATTGACAAATACAATAGTTGTATGAGATTTACAATACAAGTTTGTTTCACACAAAGTTAAAAACGAGCATCTATATAACAATTTGCCTTCGATTTATTACTATAATGTAATTCTTTATCCACAAAATCAAGATACAAGATAGAACATATCATTTTCCTCAATACATGGAACAACATTATACGCCAGTTAAGTTCACTAATGATTGTTAACTAATATATTACCTGTTCCTCCTCCACTTTCCTGCGAAGCTCTTCCTCTTTTCTCTGTTCTTCTTCAAGTGCAGCTTTTCTAGCTGCTTCCTCCTCTAAACGGCGAGCTTCAGCTTCTTCAATTGCTTTCAACTCTTTTTCTCTGTCAGCTTGCAATGATGCATAATATTCATCATCCTGAATGCATCATGCATGTAGGGTGTTAGACCATTTCTTCTGGACCAAAATACCCATACCTTGCAGTCAAATAAAAAGAAAAAAAAACTAACTTGCTGTTCCCGTATCAAGCGTTGGGCTGCCAAAGAGGGTGATGGAGGACGTGGGGTACGCCAGGGATTGGAGCCCTCAGGTTGCATGAACTGATGAGGTGCATATGGAAAACGATATCCACTTTCAGGGATACCACCAAACATTGCAGCCTCAAGCATGACTGCTTCATCATGCTCCTCAGATGAGATGCCTCCCCACTATGATTTAGTAGAGAGCAGAAACCAAATATTACTTTTAGTAAAGAACATAAGCAACATGCATTAGTTAGAGGAGAAAGTCGAGTAAATATATGAAATGCATTGTCTACTTAAGTTCTATCTGCACATAAGAGGAAATTGGGAAAGTGTTTAACCTCGTCAGAAGGAAAGGCATTTCCATTGCTCTGTGGGAGATTGCCTATGTCTTGCTGTCCAGGACTTGATGGTGGGCTAGCCTCAACAGCTCCAATTTCTTTCACAGATTCCCTCGAGCCAGATGATGTCCTTCTGGACCTGTGCCTAACTAGAGGCTGCTTCTCCACTTCTCCGTCATCATCTTGAATGGAAGAGCTTCCTCTCATTAACCTAAACCAACTCAATCAAGTACACCATAAAATGAAGCAAAGGCAAATAGAGTTACAGATTTGTTGTCATAACACAGTAACACAACAGAACACCTAATGCTTAACAAGTGACCATGAGATGTACCTCCCATTTGAATCAGCCAAGTTTGTGAGCTGCACCTCAGCTGGTTTAGAAGCTACTGATTCCGATGTTCCAGCAGACCGACCCTGCTCATGCAATGCCTTCTCTTGCTCGACAGACTGAATTTGGAAACATTGAGAGAAATGAAGAGATTATCATATGAAAGCATGATTTTAACAGACTAAAGCACAACAAACCTTCAAAGACAACGAAGCTGCTTCTGCAAGTTGAGCATCCTCCTTCACTTGAGACCGATTGGGTGGAGGCCCCAGATCACTTAAATCCTGCACAAACATTAAAAGGCAATTTGTGAGGCAAACAAATATGCCATCAACAAGAAGGAAGTGCACCAGTACAGCATGACACTGGAAACACCTGTCCGTAAAAATTTACCTCAACTTCCCATTTGGAAGCCTCAATTGCAGCTTGAATCATTTGTTCTTCAATGTCATTGCCATAGCCTGGCAAATTATCAAAGACAGGAGCACTGGGTGTAACATGTTGGTCATGAGAGGGATTGTTCGGCTGAAGTGGCAGCATGGAAGAATCCTCATCCACTTCATCAATTACAACGATCTCATTGGAATTAGGTCCATGTGCTTGTGCAGTTTCAGAGACATCCTCAATGACAGGAGCATGACCAGAACGATGTGATGGTTCATTGCTATCCCTAACCTCTATCGGTACCTCCCTCACCTCTCTTGGATGTGTAACGAATGGTTCTCGAGTGGTAAAATCAGAAACACCATCAAAGAAGCTTCTACGAAAGTTTGGATCAAGCAATGCGAATGCATTCATTGCTCTAGATGCTGGGAGAATTGGAAAGACTGGCCTGCTTGGTACAGTTTCGAATGGATCATCTATATCCATGGCATCATCTACAGGAACTACAGTCGATGTTGACCGAGTACTGCAAACAGGAAAAATAAAGAAATAAATAATGCTACAAACATAAAATTGCTAATCATAAGAGAGAATAGAACAATTGACAAACGTGTTTCTATCTCCTTCGCTGAAATGTGCATTGACAGCTGCGTTTAGATCACCACCATGCTCCTGATTCCAAGCAAAATAAATAACAGATAAGTGAGAAATGCACATATCTAACTTTAATTTAGGAACAGATGCGAAAAATCCAAACTAACTCAAATAAATAATACAACTCAATAAGTCAATTTGATAGTGATAATGGTGTTATCCAAACATCTCATCCTCAAGCCACTGTCTTCATAAAATTTTGTAAAACACCTAATCAAACGATAATAAGAAGTGATGACTAGGAATTCCAGTGTCAGGTATTTAGAATAAACCTCAATTTAACCATCAGTATGAATTAGGGGAAAGCACATTAAGGAGTCCAAATGCAAGAGTGCCGAAGACACTGGCTGCAAGACTTCTAAAATCACTAATCACATTCAAGGGGCGCCAATCGATGT